TTTTTTTTTTTTTTTTCTTCTTTTGCCAAAACAGAGCTAGAACAAAGCCAGAGCGGCAGCTGTGGAAGATTTTCGATTGGACTCGTTCATGGGTGTAAAGAACAGCCACTACCATGTTACTTCCCAGCAGTGTTCATATACTTTAGGCCACAAAAAGGGTTAAAATAGTTTAAACATTTACCATCAAGGTTGACGCTGGAAATAGTTCCGCTTTTTTGTTTATGAGTCTGATTAAGGGTCTCTTTTCCCTTTCACCAGCATCTGAGCAGAATCACAGCATGTTTGTTTTAGCTGAGGTAACATTTTCCACGGGGCTCTGCTGACTACACAGTTCCTGACTCCTAGTTTCTCTGACTCCGTTTGCAAAGACATGAAGCGAAATTTCGAACCAACCTCTTAATTCCTCTCTGTTATTAAAACCTACCATTTTTGCAAATTTCTGCATGATTTAAGAATAAAAAACAGAGTGACAGAAGCAAGAGTTGGGGGCAGAGGGAAATGGTTATGCCACTTGAGCTGAAGGAGACCATTTTGCTCTGCTCTTGCTCTGAAACCTCACTTCACTTCCTACTTTGAAGCCTTTCTCAAATCTTATTTTTATGCTGGCCTCTAGGTCCCAAGATGATCCCAATATTGGGGTACAAACTCAATATGACCAGCCCCCAGTACTTTAAAGCCATGAATCAAATTTAAGAAATCCTACTATTTTAAAAAACATTAGTACATTTGAGGTTGTCGTGGTGTTCAGACTCCTCTCTTGCACAAATCCACACAAATCAATATTCCTTGTTTCTGAGCTGTTAGTGTATACATGGATTGTGTTCATTCAGGCTTTTTGTACAACAGAAGGGCTAACAAGATTATGAATCTTCTTTGTGAAGAATTTTGAAATGTTGAGATTTTAGTTCCAATTTAAAATTAATTAAAAAGCTTTAAATCTTTAGTGGAACATAACTTCTTCACAGCTTTATGCTGAAGTTCATACCATGACTCCAGTTCATTGTTGCCTGGTATTGGGTGGGGTGGATAACATTAAAATGCAAAGGGATGCACTTTGTACACATTCCCTTCAGTTCCTGTCTAATTCTGATTTTAGTCTACTGGAGAATTCTTTTAAGTGTTTTGGCTCAAAGTGAAACTCATCCAAAATCACAAGTTTCAGTTTGATCTAGAAACTATGCATTTCAGTGTAAAAATTACAAAAATGAGCCCTGTTCACATTATATCCAACTTTGAGAAAAGTTCACCCGCTTTTCAGCCTTAAATGATTCTAACCAAATGCCTAGATTCAAGCAGCCTTGCTATTTTGGAAAGTTTAGCTCTGGCTCTGAAGTGTGCCTCATCTTCAGTTTTGCCATTGCTGCTTTGGATTTCTAATGGAAGAAAAGTCCCAGAACCGAACAATATCTAGGCACGTTTGAGTTTAATGAGTATGGATACATTTTGCTTTCTTTTAAATATATAAGATAAAGAACTCTTTTACCCATATCTTTATCATACATACTATGGCAGCTATAGTAGACGTAGCTGTACGTTCTGTATATAGAACGTATAGCTATATATGATGGGATCTCATTGACCTTGGAGCTGAATCACTAAGTCTGCTTTAAACGACTTGAACTTGCTGCAGTATTTATACACATCTCAGTAAAGATATCAGTCTCCTGCTCTATGGTTAGGGCAGAGCTGCTAATCAGCAGGGTTCTTGGTTTTCTCTGATTGACAGAAATCCCCAATTTTTTATTAAAATAAGTAACGCCACTTTTATTTATTTATTTGTGTGTGTGTGTGTGTGTGTGTGTGTGTGTGTGTGTGTGTGTGTGTAGAGAGAGAGAGAGAGAGAGTGGTGATTCATTTTAATCATGGAAAAATGTGGATCTGGGGTTCCTTTTTTTAACTGAAAATTGGCGATTTTTTTCAGAGAAAACCAGGATCCCTGCTAATCAGCAATATAGAGGAAAACACAGAGTTATATGTCCAAATCCACTTGAAGCATTTTTAGCGTCAGGCTGCAGAGCATAACACTGTGGGAGGCCAGTGAAGTCAATCAGCAAACGTAACTCCAGTTTTAAATGGTTAAGTCTCACTAGAGGTGCAGGATAAATGTCACAGGACTTCTTGTTGTTTTAATACACCTTAAGAAACTAAACAAAGCAAACGCATTTTGTGGCTCCCTCAGGAAAAGACTAGTCACTTCCTGAGCAGTAATCTGCCTGCTAGCAGCAGATAGATTCTCATTGTTTACCACTTCCAGTTTCCAGTAATGGGAACCATTACTTGACTAATACCTAGCCAGTTTCTGCCGCAGACTTGGAACTACAACTTTTCACAGCAGAGCTGCTTTAGCTGTTTCTTTCAAAACACCATAGACCAAAAATAGATATTTTTACCTCGTTTAGGGTCCTTGAGGCACAGTCAACCAGAGCTGATGAACATAGTTTTATTTTGGAATTAGGTGGCTGCTCTCCAATCACAAGATGTATCTTGCTCTCCTGGTGATCCTCTTACACTGTAAGTTCAAAGTTAAATATCCAGCTGTATCTTTACTGCTTCAGTTTTACTGCTATTACTACCCTCCAGTTATTTAGCTTTGAAAATAACAAAACGTTCCATTAATTTTCCAGGTTCAAGCCTTAAAGCACGTGAAGGTGAGTTGTGGAATTCTTTTTCAATTTGTTGATATGTAAAGTACTGATTTCCAAGCTGATCTGAAATTCTGCTGGTAAAGTTCCATAATCGAGTTACTCTAGATTTTAAATAGTTGTAAATCTGAGCAGAATTTGGGCCACAAATTTATCTCAGGTTAAACCTGCATACCTGAAGAGTGCCAACATATCCTTTTTGGACTCTCAGAAAGAGACAGACTCCAGTCCAGACATTTCAAGTGAAATCTGACTAGTGAAGTCAGTTGCAACTTTGTGCTGACTTTAGTGGCCACTGAAGTGATCTGTTGTATAAGATTCAATATTGTGCTAGTGAAACAATCACTGAACTTAACTTTTGTCAGTATCCTGCAATATACAAAGTCTGCAGATATCTTTATTTAGTCACAAAATATCTGGAAAAAATGCTAGTGAGAAGTTTTTGCTGCTGAAAACAGTTTAAATCAGCATTGCACTACTTGCGTCTAATAAAGAACTTTGAAATAGCCAGTGGAAACACTTGTTTAGGAAGGGGAAAGGAAATTTAGGTATTGGCTTTCCCATTTTTTAAACAAAAAGCTTTCTAGTCTGCCATAAGGAAAGAGGAAGTAAACATTTTGTAAATATAAATTAAGAACATTTGCAAGATGTAAATGTTTTTGTTTTGAGAGCATTGCTAGCTTGGAAGATAGTTAAACTTGCATGAGTCTGGAACTGGAAAAAGTGGGTAACATTTTTGCAGGCTGTTCTTCTCCAGCCTCCCTTTCCCACCCTTGGAGATTCCTGGCCCCAAACTGACCCACTCGAAGCAAAAAAGGTGATCTTCATAAGCCCCTTTGCGAGCCCAACATCAAAGTTATCTCTGGCAAGGAAGAGTTATAATTCCTGGATAGGGAGGGCTCCACCAGATATAGGAGCATTGTCACAACCCACTAGCAAATCAGTGCTCTATGCCCTGAGCAAACTGGATATTCCCAGAGCTGTACATTTCAGGGAAGAAAAAAGCAAAAAACCCATAACCATTTTTTCCAAGACCCGTTTATAGCTGCATGAATAAAATGTGTAGCACATAGTTTGTCATACTTGTGACATTAAAGAAATAAGCAGTGCATGCTTTGATGCTATTACAAAAATGTAACAGCTGAGGTACTTTCTTTCCAGCCGTTTGAAAATGGCAGCCAAAACCCAATGGATGTGGGGGGAATTTTCATAATAAAAGTAGTATATTTATAGGTAACAAAGACACATTTAGAGGGCTAGTGCCGCTGCTCTTAGTCGCATTGCTTTCAGTTGGGGGTTCTGCTTAAAAATTAATAGCAAGTTGTGGTCCAAAGAGGCTAAAATTGAGAGAGACCTAGATTCAGCAAACCAGAGAGAAATGTACTTAACTTTAAGCCTTTGAGACACATGCTTGAGTCCCGCTGAAGTCATAGAGGGTGAGGTCCATCCTTGATTTAATTTCCCTCAGTAGAGTTAGACTGGGGATGGATTTGGATAGGCAAGCACAATACAAACTTCCCTGATTATCTGTAGTCCTGACATGTACTACCCACTCCACAATATTCTGAATCTGGACTTTTCCTGAGAAGAGGCTGGAAATTTGCTAATTTATCAGCAGTTCTGGCACTCTTCGCATGTAGCAACAGGAGATTCAGATCGTCAACATTTTTAGGATTAAACCTTTGATTTGCATTTGTTTTTAAAAAAGCTGCAAATATTTGGTACATTTTTGTGACACTGGAATGCACTGGAATTTAATGAAATGCCAAAGCAGCATAAGAAAACCAGTAAGGTTTGCCTGATTGCAGCTTATGGATGTGGAGGCAGATATGAGTCAGGAAATCATGATGTCTAATTGAGTTTGGGCCAGCAGCAAACAACAAGAAATTGTCAAAATCTTTACACTTTTTTCCCCTGAAGAAAAGGGAAAGGGAAAATAATTGAAGAAAAAAATATTGGGCTGTTTTTAACTTTTGCTTTTTTGCTACTCATTTACAAAAATGGCCATATTTATTTAATATTAAGTTGGGATCACAAAGTAACTAACTATAGGAAATGTGCTATAAACATGTTGCTGCCTTGCATGGCTATGTGCTAAAATATGTGCATTACAGATGAAGGATTGGCCGTATTTTTATACTGTCTTTTGCTGGTGGCCTTTCATGGAAGGGAAGATAAATAAAGTCTGGTCTTCCAACTTGTACTCATGTGAGTAGTCTTTACTTCACATGAGTAGCTCCATTGATTTCAGTGGGACAGTTTTCACGGGGAAGGAGGACCTGGATATTTGGTGACAGGAGAGCACAGGTAGAGTTAAATGCTGCAGCTCTGGGAGCCCCATGCGGTTAATATTGCCACTATTCCCCTGTTGCTAAATGTTTGGAGCCATAGGGAGCCCCTAAAGCCAGACAACGTGGCCCTGAACACCAGATCCAGCTCACAGACTGGCTGCACACGCTTATCCAGCCCACATGCCTGAAAGTTTGAGCACTGCTGATCTTGAGTACCCCAAGTTGCTTTTCAGGATTGAAATGAATGTCATGTAGCTGCTCCCAAGAGCAGCAATGCTTTACATAAACTGGAAACTCAATGTGATTTATTTTCCCCCCCTTCATCTAGTTTTTACCATCAACAAGGTTGAAATCCAGGCTGCCCCATCGCTTCAAGTGCATAATGGAGATGCACTTACCATCCTCTGTACTGCAGACATTAGCAAATCTGGGAACTTCATGATAGAACATAATTTCACATTTTTTAAGGATGGCAGGATTCTGTCTGATATCACATCGTTGCAAAACAGGACAGAATATAAAATACCGGCAGCTAGATTTGCAGACACAGGAGAGTATGTCTGCATGGTGAAAGCCAAAGAAAAGAAAAAAAAAAGTGAAGTGATGCTTGTTAAAGTCACTGGTAAGTATTTCTTCAACCATAGCTTTCTTCTGTTACAGCTAGCAGAGCAGATCACTGGCTGGAGCTATTATGATACTCTGACTTAGTTCTTACATAGCGGCTTTTTCAAAAGTGCCCCACAAGAGACTGGTAACATTATTTAAAGAAGGGGAAACTGAAGCCCAAAGAGATGAAGTGACTTGTCCAAGATCACCCAGCAGGTCAATGCAGAGTCAGGAATAGAGCCCAGGTCTTCAGGATCCCGATATAATACTCCACGTGCTAGACTACTGATGAGTGTGCTAAGACCTTAGGCAGATGTACCTTTGAAGTGCCTCAAATACCACTCCACTGTGGAGCGCTTTAAACCATAGATGTTCATTCAACCCCCTGCCACGGCACTTCAGTCACCGCAGTAGCATGCTGCGGCATGCTCTCCAAGCAGGGCCCGTGACGGGGACACACACATATGGTGTGCCCATTTCTGTGGCTCTGCTCCCCCTGCATGCTTTCTGTGGTGGGGGAGGGAAACAGGACAGACAGCCAATAAACCCTCCCCTGTGTGCTTGGTCTCCAGCCCACCACCAGTTCTTGAGGCAGAGGTGTACAAGTTTGCCAAAGGTAGTTGAGCACCCACTTGCTGGAACCAAGGGTCCAAAGACCTTGTTCCACTTCCATCATCTCTTATAAGGACAGGAAATACATATGTACCCATTTTTTCTTCCATAATGTTCCTCGTTTCTCTACGAGTTGCATGGTTCCTCTTGAAATATCAGCCTCCTGAACGTCTTGGTTTAGGGTTGACTGGCAACGGTTGTGCCAATATGTAACCTGCCTTAATGGATTGGTATTCGCAGTCACAATATCCAGATGGGAAATACAGTTTCTCCCCTTGCTTTTTCCCCAAATAGGAGTTGGAGACATTGAGGAGGAAGTGTTCTTAATTTCCAAAGAGTGAGCTACATGCTTCAAACATAGTGACATGAATGGAGCCACAAGGGGCTGCTTGTCCATTCGATGGCACTATCTGCACAACAGAAAGCTTTTCCCAAAGGTCACAGGTGCTCAGCTCCAGACTTCAGCTGCAACAGCAATCTGATATTGGTCCATTAGAGCACCAGTGACAGAGATATCAAGCATAGCATAGCATCTGTATTAGGGATATCTAATGATACTTGCTTCTATTTTTTTCTGCCACAGGGCTACCCAAGCCAAAACTGACTGCTCTGAAAACCGAGGTAGCAGAGGGGGAGGAATTAGCTTTGAAGTGCGAAGTTCCAGAAGAAGCTCCTCCACTTACTTTCACTTTCCAGAAGTTACTGACCCCTGGAGGGCCGGTAACAAGAACAAAGGAGGAGTTGGAAAAAAATTTTACGACAGTAGAATTTCTAGTTGAACCTGGGGAAAAAGTATTGAGATTTCTATGTATTGCCAGCGTGTATTCAGCACATGGTATGCAAGAGTCAGCCCCAAGCAACGAGCAACTTGTACCAGTTGTGGGTAAGGTGTTTTGTTTTTCACCTTTATATTTTTTCTTCTTATGTTGCTTGCCTGGGTAGAAACCGTGGATGCCTTGAATTGCAAAAGAATAGTCTACTAGTTAAGTGGCTGCGTGTGAATGTTGCAGTGTTACAAATGGCAGAGCAGGTCTGATTCTTTGGCTTACCAAAAAGTAGAGAGACTTGTGAACAGAAAATACTGTTCCAAACCCTCTCTCATTTCAAGAATGCTCAGGATTCATTTGGTGGCTTGGGCCTGCTTCATATACAAACCTTCAGACAAGCACGTTTTAATCTGGGCTCTTTAAGTGGTGGATTACAATCAGCCTGCCCATCGTTCTGGGTGAAGTCAATCCAAGTTGTGGGTGTTTACCATGCCGAGCAAGGAGTCTTGATTAAACGTACAGTGTCCATTACAGGGTAGGATATTTCATGCTTATTAGTAGAGATGGAGGGCAGTGGCAAATACAAAAGTGACTTGGAGTCCTTCTGAACTATTGGCTATTTTGTTTCAGAATCTAAGATTTAACTTAAAATAAAGGAAGACCCTTGGTAGAGCTTTCACCATCTGAACAGATGCAGGTGTTTCCTTGGTCATGCACTCCAAAACAGCCAAGTAACCATAGCAGTAAACAAGGGTTTATTTCCCCCAGTAATATGACTTTAATCTTTTGTAGAACACTTTTCAACTCCTAATCTGGTCATCGAGCCTTCCCTGAATGTTACAGAAGGAGATAATGTTAAACTGGTATGCAGAGTTGTAGTCCGAAACTATGACATTGAAATCATCATCCAAAAAGACAAAGTAATATTGAGCAGCGCCAGGGGCCAGAACTTTTTGACCTACTTTACGAAAGTGAGGATGGAAGACAATGGCAATTACACATGCAAGGTGGAACTGGGGAGTGTTTCCAAAGAAAAGACCGTGAACATGGTTGTGACAGGTGAGATTACTATTAAATCTAGATCTTATAGAATTGAGTGAACTTTTCACAGACGTCTTTGCTAGAGATGGATTTGAGCTGTAACAGTTTATATCCACAATCTAAACTTCCCCTCAGTGAGTGAGTGCTTAGATTTGGGTTTCTGAGTAGGGTCCATCTCTAAGACTTTATCATCAAAATCCACACTCTACAGGGCATGTTGAGAGGTGGTTGAATGCAAAAGGGAAAGATCCTGAGTTCTAAATCTGTTGTCACTGCATCTCTGGGTGGCCTTCAGCAAGTTGCAAAGACCCCACTTTCCCTAGAGATATAACCAAGTTAAAGTAGAGTTTGGGTGTCACTGCTAGGGGAAGGGATGTCAGATCAGTTTGAATGTTTGTGACTATGTAGCTGGAGATTCACAGGGGATAGAAAGACCCTTTAGTTTGAGTAGGAGAGGCCTGTACTTTTGAAGCTTAAGATTTCTGGGTTCTTACCTCCACATTGCATGTGACATGTTTGGGAGCTATTATGCCCAGTGCTTGTGACCAGTAGCATACCATACCATAGACCATTCAGCCATTTTTGAATGTCTGGCCGGCTGGTGGAAAAAACAGCTTCTGTCATGTGCTGTAAGTCATTATTTACAGATAGTCATACTGTCTAGGGCTTCTCAGTAATCCCCCTCCCCACACCAAACTAAGGAAATTTAAACATCACTGGCTTGAACCCTGAGCCCAGAAAGCTGAGAAGCTAAACTGCATTGCCTGTTTACTCTTGGGGAGTGAGACTTTTCTATTAACAAGACTTGAGTCCAAGGATTTCACACAAACACATTTTATTGGCGGGGAAGGAATAAAAGGAAATGCAATGTAAACTTGGGAAAACCAGATTAATAATGCAGCAACATCATGTGAAACTCCCACCCTCGGTGTTGCAGTGGTAGCTTTAACCCCAGACCTCTTCTCATGGTCGTGCCTCATGAATAAAGTAGTTAGCTACAACCCTCCTCTGGTGTGTCCCGCTCACAGTTAATGTTCCAGTTCTGGAATAGTTGGGATTTGGGGCAGGTCCGTGCTTCACTCTGAAGGGATGTGCTGCTCTGGGGGCTCTCTCATCTCTTCTGTCTGAGGCGGCCACAGCTGTGGGGCTGGGCAGGGAAGCTTTTGTTGGATTCCCTTACCTAAGCTGCTGCTTTTTGTGGTTTCAGCTCAAGCAATCTCATCTCTATTTGTCCCCTCCCCCGCCAAAGCTACCTATTTGCTGTATTGTCATATCTGTTTCCCTTGACATCTCAAAGCTGCCTCTGCATCATCATAGTTCTTCAGAGATGGATCACTGCAGCATTCAAGGCCCCAACAGAGCAAAGCTCCAAGCAGAACTTCCCACTCCTCTTTTCCACTTTCTTTACCTTGCCTTAGCTGTGTTTGCCCCATTACTCCAGACTACAGTAAGGCATCCCCACACTGCAGGCACACAGTTCTCTTGTCCATTCATGACCTGGCAGGGATAATAGAGGATCATGTTTATTACTCGCCAAATTAACAAATAATATTTTATGTCCCAAACTCTTGAAGAAATGAAATGCAAATAAGGCCTGACCAGTGCAGGTATGACTCTTCCACATATGCTGCAAAGGGTTCTTTCCCTATGCAGTCCACCCGTCTCATACCTCTCTTTTCCCTGATCACCAGTAGCTGTCAACAGTGATCTCCCCACTCTTGAGGCTTCAAGTGACAGGGCTTATACTGACATACTAAGACCAACTCCTCATTTCATGGTATCCGTCCCTCTGGGGAGTTTGAGGCATGCTGCCCCCTTGCTCTTATGCACAATCTAAATTTATTATACCTATTCTCTATTTATTTTGCAGAGTTGTTTTCAAAACCAGAATTGATTTATCCTGCGAAGATCATAGATGAAGGTGATTGGTTACAACTGCAGTGCAATGTTAAAGGCTTATTACCCGTAACAAAGATCTCCATCAAAACAAGATATTTAGGAAAAGATAACCTGTTGAATGATTCCAGCAGCTTCATTACGAGAGCCCATGTGAACGACACTGCGACCTATATTTGTACAGCTGAGATTAATGGAATCATTAAAGAGAGCGACCCTGTACAGATAAATGTTTATGGTGAGTTGATATAGTCTGGTCCTGGAAAAAACTTGAGCATGTAAGTAATTCAGTTGTTTTAAGGATATGGCACCAATCCTTTAACTTCACTACTATTTTTAAGGAGCAAGTAAATTACTTTGAGACGCTTGTAAAGTCTTGAGGTGCATACAGGATGTTTTCCATCCTAATTTAAACAGATTACATTTTTCCAAGGTCAGTCTTAAATGAGGATGAGAGCTAGTAGGCCTTTCTCTTTTATCTAATGACTCCCTTCAAACACTGGCTAGAACCTATCCCTGTGAGTGTCTTATCTATCCAGCTTGATGCCAGCTTTCTCTGTAGCTGCACACCTTTTTATACACCAGCTTTACCTGAAACAACAACATCAGCTTCTGCCTTGATATTTTTCTAACAGTCTTCCATCAGTTGGAGGCAGAGGTCATCTTGGTTAAGGGTGTCTGCACCATAAGAAAGCCAAGGTGTTTGCTTTGCAACCAGTGGCGGTTCTCTTGAGGTGGTCACTTCAGACCATTGACAACACCCTGGCTTCCTTTTCCCCTCATGGATAAAAATATAAGCAATCTTTGGATATTAGCTAAGTATCATACATTTATAAATTATGTGTAAACTAACACAAGAGTCTTTAGTTAGTGCCTTTTCATAGAACCACATTAATAACTTTTTTCTCTTTTTAGCTCCAGTCTCCATCCCACAACTTTGGGTTGCCCCTTCTGTCCATGAGGTGATATTAGGGGGAACAATACATATTTGGTGTCAGTCTTTGTATGGAACACCACCTATAACATACAAGTTCTTCAGAGGAAACAAAACGGTTAACTCTAGCCAAATTTTTAATAAACTACCCGCTGAATTCAAGGACAAACCAACTGAAGTAGGCGTGGAACAATACAGTTGTGAAGCTAGCAACCATCACTCTCGTATTAGGAAAAGGAGCAGAGAGCTAAATGTCACAGTAATAGGTAAGTGCAATTTGCTCTTCAACTCATGGAAGGAGAGGTGTGAGAATTGGAATTTTGGAAGTATCTGTAGGACCCTGATTGAATAGTAAAATTTATATTAAAACTTTTGAATAGTGATAAAATACTCTCTAGTGCTCACTTTGCTGTGGTGTAAAATACTGACTTTGCTGTGGTCCTTAAAACAAACTATGCTACTTGCAAACTGGATCAAATTAATCAGAGTCAGGTTTATTTAATGGGAAAATATAGTCCATATATTTGCTGTGAATTTAAACTGCTTGAATTTAGTATCACTGGAGAAACAAAATAATTTGTTCTTCAATATTTAGCAGTATAAATATGAACCCAATCCTGTATTTCTTATTCACCCAAGCAGGCCTAGTAAAGTTAATAAGTTTTAGGATCAGGCCCAACTTTTTTATTGGCTTTTTGGTTTTCTTTTTGGCTAGACTCCATTTAAATATACATGTAATTATAGTAGAACTGTTGTTATGATGATGCTTGCAATGCTTAGTGTGTACTGGTTTCAGTGGCCTGCCTAAATTACTCTAACTTAGATTCAATTTTTCCAGGATTTTAATAGTTTAAAGTTGATCTCATGTTAGTAACCTTTGCAACAACTGCTCTTGGTGGGAGAGACAGGGTTAAAAACCCAGACAGGAAAGCTGAAGTGTAGCCAGCTGGAGTCATAGCATAGTCCCAAGAAGGGTCTTTGGGACTCTTGAACCAAAGGAAGGAAGCATGTGACTCCACAGACCAAGAAGGAGCTACAGTGGAGCTAGCAGAGCTCTTTGGCTCAGAGGGAACAGGAAACCTGAAACCCTAGGGCAAGGTGCGAATTAGCAGCTCCAAGAGGGAAGGGTTGAACCTGACAGGTGCAAAGAGAGACTGTTTTGTAAAGACTTAATAGGTCACACTCTGACAAGGGGAAGATAAATTTAAGAACTCTATCTGTGAGTAAGTTATGAAGTGGCAAACAAAGGTGGGGTGAATAGGCCACTTACGGATAATGCAGGGGCTGTCCCCTGCTACACATACAGGTAGTTTGCTCTCTCATCCTCTAGGTGGGGAGAGGGTTGACAGTGAACTCCAGGTACAATGGAGTGTCTTGTTTTGGGAGGGGTTAAATAAATGTGTTGTTATATATTTGTTAGATAAGCAAATGGCAAAGTAATGCTCTGGTACCTGAAATGAAAGGCTTATGAAGCTCTTTAGTTCTTGGAGGATTTCATCCTGTAGTCTTGGGTTGGCCTCGGAAAAAGTTCCATCTCCCACAGACAAACTTTACACTTATGATAAAATGTTCCATTGCACCATAAGAGTGCAGTTCTCAGCTGTGGTCTTCATCAGAGCATTTTAGGCAATGTTCAGCCACAGTCTTCATCATGAGGCTATATGCGCTCTTGTAAGTTTTTGGGATCAAACCATGGAGTACCTAGAAGATATGGACCCAAGAGTTTGAATTTGATCAGTGAAGCCAGTGTGAAGAGTTAAAGGACCTCTTTGATGTGCTCAGTGTATCTGGGTTTGTTGAAGAGAAGTGCTGCAGCATTTTACACTGTAGCATTTCTGTGGTGTTTTATTGAAAATTGCCGTAGTCCAGCCAAAAAGCGATAAAGGCATGAAAACCGGGGCTAGGTCATTGTCTGCCAGGATAGACTCTTCCAGCCAACCAGAGGGGGAGAAATCATTTCCTGTTGCTGTGTGAGAGCCTAGTGTCAGAGATGTATTTGGTAGCTGTGTTGGTCTGAGGCAAAAAGAAATGCAAAACTCTACAACTCTTGGTTCAGAGATGATACTTTTTATTAGACCCATGGCTCCCAAACTTTTTTTGCTGCCACCTTAAATCCGGCTTGTGACCCCTGCCACTGACCCTGCCACCGACTCACTCAAGCTTTTGGGCGCACACACCTTTCCTCAGGCTCAGGGAAAAATTAAAGATGGTAAAAAGTCCCCATAGGTAAGAAATAAACTTCATTTTTGCACAGAGGAAGCTGAAGGCAGAAGTCTGTTCCTCTGGGTCCATGAAAGTGTCTTTGTGAATTGCTTTCTGAGGTGCAGATGAGGCAGGAGTCCTTCCCCAGTGGTGTCAGAAGCATCCAAGACTACTCCAGATCTGCAGAGCATATTGATCAACTGCGAGTACATATCTCCTACCAAAGGAGTTTACACTGTAGTTTCATAGATTTCATAGACATTAGGGCTGGAAGGGACCTCAGAAGATCATGAAGTCCACCCCCCCGCCCCAAGGGGCAGGAAGTCAGCTGGGGTCAAAGGATCCCAGCAAGATAAATGTCCAAATGTTTCTTAAAAGAGTCCAGAGTAGGTGCTTGCACTGCCTCTGGGGAGAGTCTATTCCAGGCCTTGGGGACTCAGACAGTAAAGAAGTTTCAAAGGCTTTTTTGAAGTCCAGATATATGATGTCAATCTCTTCTCTCTTGTCCAGGTGATATGTCACCTGGTTATAGAAGGAGATGAGATTGGTCAGGCAAGACCTCCCTGCAACAAACCCGTGCTGGCTGTCCCTCATGAAGTTGCCATCAGCCAGCTTGTCAAAAATGGTTTCTTTGATAATTTTTTCCAGAATCTTTCCAGGGATTGAGGTCAAGATGATTAGCCTGTAGTTCCCTGGATCTACTTTCCTCCCTTTCTTGAAGATGGGCACCACACTGGCCTTCTTCCAATCTTCAGGTACTTCACCTGAGAGCCAGGAGTTTTCAAAGATATTTGCCCATGGCTGAACTATGACTCCTGACAACTCCTTATGTACTCTGGGGTGCAATCCACAAGGACCCGCTGACTTAAAGGTGTCCAGCCTCTCAAGGTGTTCCTTTACAAGGTCTGCACCGATGCTGGGTATAAATTCACCCTCACCCTGGCCATCCCACATCTCGCCCTTTGGGTCGATGAAAAACCAATGCAAAGTACCATTAAGCAGGTTGGCTTTTTACTGGGAGCTGGTTATCAGTTGTCCCATTTGGTTTAGCAGGGGTCCAAT